TAGTCCTTTTGCTTTTGGTAATTTATGTTAACTATAACTCATTTAATACAATAGTTAATATTGTTTTTTTGCACAAAAAAAAAAAAAAAAAATGATTGTTATATAGTACACCTTAAAATTCATGCAAAGCAAAGGTAAAAATAACATAAATTTTGTTGGAAATTATATAAAATATATTTGGAAAAAAAAAAACAATGGAAAAAACGCCGGGATATATGTCCAATTTGTTTGGATGTAGTATTACCCAAAAAAAATTTCTTGAAATCAGTGGACCAAAGACTCCTTGTTACTGTTCAATGATATAAAGGATAATGGGTAGACAAGCTTTTTTCTAGGATACACATCATTAAAAGGATGTCAGTCTGACTGATATGTGTAGGAATGATTGTGAGTGAAGTGATTCGGGTCAGTCTTGTGGCTGTTATTGCTAAATGATCAAATAGGGTCTGATAATAGATCTTTGGCAGTCTCAGCCGCTTAATTTGGGCTATTAGTTTTCAGTATACAGTACCATCTTTTTTATCTCTACCTTTAGATTTAAAAACCATCTGCTTTTTGGTCTCTTGCCAACTAATGTGGCATTCACATAATGATAATAAGACAAATGCTATAAATTATAATTAAAAGGTGACTGAATAGAAGTTAAATTTTTTTGAACAGTACACACCAATTACCATCATCATAATAGTTTTTTACAATGTCACCTCCAATATTAGTACACATTTTTTCAAGTTCTGTTTCTTCAAAGAGATGATAATAGCGTAAATATTGAGTTTCCTCAATGTTTTTTGATCTTAAAGTCCACGGCACTAAAACATCAATATGCTGAAATTCTGTTTTATTACAATGAATAGGTAATATAACACCAGCTTCATTCAAGTACTCTGTTTTAGGAGATGAAACATTTGATTTGTTTACATACTTTGTATTCTTCCCCACATAACTGGTGGAATTCTGTTTTTTACTCCAAACATAAATCAAAGCTAAGCCACCCACTTTTAAAATCCTTAATATTTCTTTTAATGCCTGGATCCTACGTGATTCTTTAGAGAGGTGATGGAGAACTGCAATGCAAATCACAGCATCAGCAACATTATCTTTTAGAGGTACATGCAAACAATTAAATTGAATAACCTCCATTCCTTTTTCTGCACATATTAAGTTTAATTTATTACAACTGTCACCACCAAAATGAAAATTATTGCGGTTCAAATTAAAATATTTCCCATTACCACAACCTATGTCAACAACAATTGAACCAAAAGGTAAAGATTTAAGAAAGTCGCGAACTGCTGGCCAAGGTGAATGACGGGTCGATGAAAAATGATCAGATATATTTTCATAAACTTTATGAACAAACTCATTTTCAATTCTTACGGCAACTTCTTCTGAAGGGGTCTTACTATGAGAATTCAAGTAGGAGTCACATGCTAAAGAATAATTACAGTTGCAATCCCCTTTTCTAATTTTACGAAATGTACATGAAATACGTTTTTCTCTTGATTTTGTGCTTAAGCCAATCAAAACATTGTACAAAACATCACTTTTTCTTGGGATTATGCCATGGGTCCAGTAGTACCTCGCTTCGCCAGATATGACTAAGAGTGATCTTCTAGGTATAAGAACTGATGCTTTGTTTTGTTTATCACATTTTTCAAATTCCATTACAACATCAGACAACAGGGAAAGAGAAAGTATAGGGTCTTCAAATGCACTGTGGGTGTCGACATGAGGAGGTATTCCTTGACCTGGAAGATAACAGTTTACTGTCAGCTGGTCAGGAAACCATGGAATTAATTTTTTTAAATTCTTTTCACAAAATCTTTCTTCTAGGAAATTGAATTCTTCAGGAATAGCTTCTGTCAAAGGACTATCTTTGTTTACATTATTAATGGAATAGTCAAATTCATACCCATAATGTTTAACCAATCTGTGTAATAATTCTTGACCACTATTGTTAACAATATCGAATGAGTTTGACAATGACAATTCTTCAATTTCAGATATGAAATTCTCAACAATAATCACTCCTGGGGGGATATAGGAATAATTTCTATATAAGTCATGTTTACTTGGCACATCTTCCACATACAAAATATATAAGGGATCTTTACTAAGAGATGAAACTGAAGGTAAAGTTGTTGATGCCAAGCAATCAACTGCTGAACTGAGATTTCTGTATACAATAAAGCAATAAGATTTCTGTGGAACCATAACTACATTGTCAATCTGACCATAGTGACAGAAATAATTGACAACGTCTTCTTCACTTATGCCAGTTAACAGGCCAGCATTGCATAAAACTATACTTGGTTTTGGTTCCCGCGAAACCTTTATTTCCAGATCTTTAAGTAAAATGTTGGAATATTTTTTGGCCTTTTTCCACTTTTTTCTGTCTATAAACGTAGTCATTGTACAAAATACAGAGAATAATTTTTCTGAAAGTAACTACTACACTCTTCAACAAATACTGAACATGAATTTTAAACTTTGTTAGATCTTTGAACGAACGAACAAAAAGAATGTGGAGAAGCAAAGAGGCATTTAAATATAGAAGACTGTCATGTCATACCAAGTTTGAATTTCACTTAAATAATAAATAGTATTGATAGTTTAAACATCATTAATCATCAAAAATATAAACTAACAGGATACAACTGAGTTGGGATTTATTTTTTTGTATTGGGGATAATGTTCCGGTTCCATAATAAGGAGTTGAGGGTTGATAAGGTCTTTTTGCCATCTGAATTTTTTCTTTTGATTTCCACATCACATGCACCATCTGTTGTGGGCGGGGTGGCCGAATGGGCTAACGCGTGTGCACTGCACCGCCGTTGCCCGGCAACCTGATACATAACACTTCGAAAAAAAAAATAGTCACAATTTCGCGTCCCGGTGCCCGGAGGAGTTTTTTAAATCTCCGCCCACACTCCCTGGCCCGAGAAAACCCCCGTATAGCCATAGAGGCGAGGAAGGGGAGGACAAAAAAATAATAATAATAAAAAAATAATAAATAAAACATGCACCATCTGTTTCAATTACGGAACCAAGATATTTAAAAACTATTTTTAGAACACCTCCTGGATTCAGTTTTATATCCTCATTATTAGATAAAGAATTAACCAAGGATTTCTAACTGTATAATTTGTTTGATTTCAAAACAGATTTAAATAAGGCTAATTGCTTAACTCAGCGCTGAGTTTCATCGGATTGCATCGTCGTTTCGTCCAATTTAGAAACGAATGCGATACCATCGATGAAATACGCACTGGGTTTCAGAACTTGTCCATACTGACAGAAAGTAAACTAAATATAAATATGTAAAGCTCATTATTTCTTCCGCTACATTATCGTTAATACAACCGATGAATAAGTAAATGCACTAAATTCCATCGATGAATTTAAGAACGCGCCCTAATATTTATATATTTGTGGGAGATAATATGTGTTGAATTTCGTGTAACTATTATATTGAAATTCCGTCAAACCCTATTGAATCTAAATCATTTCTAAACTCAATTTTAACATTGTCAATGCCCTTTTCGTTAATAATAAAAATATTATGGAATTTTTCATATTCCATACAATTTTTAACGAATAATTTACTGTTATATTAGAAATGTATAGTACAAAAAAGCATCCCTACTACGTTGTTGGAGATTCAGTTACGAGAAGAAATCTTTTTCATTTTATTTCAGAATGTAAAGCATTAAATTAGATAAATACTCTAAAACAACTTCTTATTGCCAATCTTTTTATTTAAACAAAATTTTAAAATCTTTTTTAATAAACGTATTGTAAAACTCAAAGGACAGAAAAATGACCGACTTTGTAACTAACTATACAGCAGTATAAACAGTGCTGAACTCACAATCATAATCACTAATGATATTTATTTGTTTATCGCTTTTACTCTAAATATTCAAAGTATAAGTATTGTTACATTGTCATAATTATATTCTATGTTTAATTTATTTTATTTAGTGGCTCGACAGGCGCCTAAAGCTGCATTTGGCCCTCTCAACTGCCTTTTCCCAGTCATTGCAAGTCTTTTCACTCTTTCCTCGGTCTTCCGCTCTGTCTGATACCTTCTGTTCTATATACAAGACAAGACAAGAACTTAACCGATGATGTAGCCAGCTATATAGACAACTAAATAAAAATCTCAACTTTACATTGACATCAAATTACTAATCTATAAGACAATATTGAAACCTATTTGGACTAACGTATTAGAACTATGGGGAACAAGAAAATTTTCCAACATTAAACGCATTCAATTCTTTTATTAGTCCGAAGTAGTAAACAATAGTCGATGCTTCTTTCTATGTTAGCAACAAAATTCTGTATAGTGACCTTAATATTGTATTTGTTCTGGACCTTATACCAGGCAAATTTCACTAGAATTTTAATCATGCAAATCCTCTTGCACAATCTATCCCTTTCAGTTCATCCATACAATTCTCCTCGAAGTTTGAAACGACAGTGGCCACGTGACTTTTTGTAAATAAATATATATTAGAATTCTAGCAATGACCGAATTGCCCATTGCCCATTCAAGCCTAGTGCGTTCTTGGTTAGCCTACACTGACTATTATTAACAGTTATACGGCTGAGAGAGAAACGCTGGGATCTCCTAGAGTCCTCCTTTTCCCCCTACAGGTGTATTTCGTTTGGTTTTTTTGTTCGATTAGTCTAAGTATAATTTTTCTTTGTTTATATATATACACATTTCTATTTTTTAATTTTATTACTCTATTGTTATTCCATTTAATTCATTTTTATTTATTGTAAATATGAATCCTTCCAGACAAAAAAATGGAGCTACACTAGATAAAATGAACTCTCTTTTATCACCACTACTAATGTCCTTAATTGTGACAGAATGTAATATAACTAAAAATAAATAAAGACAAATTGGTTGTTCTTAAGGAACTTGTTATCAGAATAAAGTCATTTCTCTATTTTACTCATAGACTTCACTGACAGAGACCTACAAAATCATAACCTTAAGATTAACTCCTTTCATTTAATGTTTATCACATGAGTTTTAGGCAGTATTCTGGGTAGTGTTTCTGTTGATAAGTTAGTTGATAGCTATAATTAATCAATGTTTAAATTTTTCTCGTGAGACTAAAGAGATGAAGAACAGTAGAAGAATATTATTTTCTTTTGTTATGCATAAGTTATTCACTTGATGTTAGGCTTTGTGTAGTGTTTGATAATTTCTTTTGAATCAATTGTCTTTTTGAGTCAGTTTGGTTTATGTTATGTTTTGATATTAATTACATAAAGCTTTGTTGAAGATGGGTGATAGTTCTTTAGTCTGAGTAAATATTTTTGTGCATTTAGAAATGAATTCTAAGAATAATGACAAACAAATCACACACCCTTCAAAGAAAAATGAATTACAGGTTCACATTGTTGAAGATCATCATGAAGTTCTTCCATTTATATATAGAATGATGGGTTCTAAAATTCTGCCCTTAAATGGCAATATTCTTATCCATCTTGACTCTCATCCAGATATGCTTATTCCAAAAGGTATGGATGCTGACACTGTTTGGAACAAGTATGAACTATTCAATAAAGTAAGTATTGAGAACTGGATCATGCCTGCTGCATATGCTGGCCATTTTAGCACTCTTGTCTGGATAAAACCTCCTTGGGCTTTTCAAATTGCTGATGGTTCCTATATTTTTTCAATTGGAAAAGAGTGCTCTTCTGGTGAAATACGTTTAACTAGTAACTTGCCTTACTTTGTAAGCGAATGTCTCTACTCTCCAGTAGATAAAATGGAAAATATAAAAGAGATCAGACTGGAAGTTGTAACACTTGGAACATTCATAAAGGAACCAGAGAGAGAGGATGATATTAATGGATTGCTAGAAAGATTAAAAGACCGATTCCCTGACTGTATGAGCTACGTCTTAGATATTGATTTGGATTTCTTCTCAACCAGGAATCCATTTAAAGCTCTCTATAAAAATGCTGACCTATATGAATCTCTTAAACATTTATATTGGTTCGACACACCTAAAAGTGAAGACAGTTTGATATTGGAGGAAGCAGTTAGAAACAGAAAAGAGCAGGTTGATGATCTTGAATCACTATGGACTTATGTAGCAGAGAACAAGTGTGGTGGGACTGAGCCAAGCTCTAGAAGATGGCCAGCAGTTAAGGAGCTTGCTCATAAAGTGAAGTCTTTTTATAAAGATATTGATTGGGAGATAGTCCATGATGCTGGTTGTACTTGGGACAACAGCGACCTCCCGGAGCATGTCACATCTCGTGAAGATATTAAAAAACTTATTGAAAAAACTTTTCATAACCTTATCCAAACACTCAATAAGCCTACGTTAATTACCATATCTAGGTCCAGTGAAGATGACTACTGTCCACCTGAAGATGTTGACTGGATTCAAGAAGAAATCATAAAAGTTTTGAAAAAGAAATTCATAATCAAAGTCCATGAGCATTATGACGAATAACTATTTAATTTTTAAAAAGATTGTGATATAAAAATAATTTGACTGCCATGATTTAGTATCAATTGGGATATAATACAAAATGTAGTTAAGTAAAACAAATCTTTATAATTTATTTAAGGTATACTATTTATTTTATATGTAATAACGCCTATTTATAAAATTTCTTAGATGAGATTAGTGTGCTTACTTTTTTATACTATGCTGTGACCTTAGAAAAATTAAATCATTTTTAATAAAGTATAGCATTTTATTTGTTAATAGCATGTATTAATACCTTGTACTACTTACAATTAGTGTATTTTTAACTAATAGATTACTTTAAATGCACATAAGTGAAATTATATTCACTATGGTTTCAACATTTCAATGTATAAATTCATAAATTGAATTTTTTTTCTTTATTATTTATAAAAGATTTTTTACTTTCATCCCATTAAATTATTGATGACATATATTAGTATAGTGATTTTTAAACGAGTTTACACAAATCGACACATTCAGCAATTTCAAAACACAATTCTTAGGATGATTGTCAGAACAATGGTGTGGAAGAAAGAAAAACCTCCGGCTCTCCACAACAAACTAGATCCTCCAACGATTTCAGAATTTATCAGGAGGAGGCATGTTAAATTCCTGGACTCACTTAAATACCTCCCTAACCCATTATTTTTACCTCTGCCAGTGCAATGGCAGAATCCATCATGAGAAAGTAGCATAGACGTTCAGGATTATATATAGTTGAATATCAAGTTCAGAAAAAAGACATGTCCCAACACATTTTAAAATATTAGCAATTTAAGACTGTATGAAAACAAAACCTCAAAGTAGCTGTAAAATGAAATATTGTTTCAGATAAAAGCTAAAGCTCCTACATATCATATTTTACAAGATTATTTAAATTAAGGGTTTGGGAAAAAAAAAATCATTTGCTCTACCATTTGAAATAAGTTGGAGTGAAGGTAATGATGGAGATCTTATTTATTTAGTCCTTCAACCAGTCAACAGCTTAATTGAGGGCCAGCATACCATTAGCCCATAGTTAAGTGTACCACCAACCAAAATACTGTTGAAGAAGAGGACATTGTAGCTAACAATCATGTATATCATTTTATTTATTTGTAAATGTTAATAAATTGTATTCATATTGTTTAATGGATCTAACTCCTTCATAGAACGTGAACCCTTAAATAAAAATAAAAAAATGTTTCTATTTGATCAATATATAAATAAACTACTGTTTAATCATTTCATCGACTCAAATGCAATAAATTTTAACTATTCTTTTTTGGAATGAAACCCAGAGAATTTAGCAAGCTTGATACAATATTTAGTTTGACAAAACAATATTAATATTTTTTTTGTTTTTATCAAGTATAATAAAAGTTCAAATCTAGAATACAGTTAATTTAATGTACTTCATTAATTCACATGGAAAGAAATTAAGTATTAACTTTTGCCAGTGGCTTATCCTTGAAAGTGACAATCACCTTTTTCATGTAAGATGAATATAAAAAGAGATAGAGATATAGTTGGCTGTTAAAATTATGTCAAACAATCAGAATATACAGTCAATTTATTGTTTATCAAGCTAGTCGATGTTTCATTTAAGTGACAAAGCCTAATAAACAATAAAATTACTGCATATTCTGATTATTTTCCATCCTGAATATAAATTAATTTATGGATAATTAAATATATTTATTCATTTGATAATATAATAAACAAACAATTAAAAAATTGAGATCAAATAAAGGTACTGGCACTCGTCTAATATGTGATCTATCTACCTCTTCCAAATCTCATGGGCAAAACTAGAAAACTGACTGATTTGTGGTATTTAATCTAGCTAAGTTATTTATAAAATACCATCACTTTCCAATTAGTTTTATGCAGATACAAATATATAGATAACAATTATTGCATTTTGCTTCAAATAATCCTGAAAATACTGTGATAAACCCACCTAAATGAAAAATACAAAATTATAGAAAACAATGTCTTACTATTTTTGAAGTTAAAATTTCATAAATTTGATTTGTAAAACCGAGCTTAAGTGTTTATTGTTTTTCCTTTACTTTGCAAATAAACTACCTTGGAACAAACAGGGTCAAGGTCCAAAATTTCATAATTTGAGATTGTTGTATGAAAGAAATCGGGGTAATGTATACGTTAATTGTTAATAGACCTAATGTGCTCTCATTATTAGTTTATATGTATGAATAGCAAATAATTGGAGAACATTTATTTCTTTAATAATTGCTGTGTACTACCTACCTCTATTTTTTTACTCAAATCAAGAAGTTTTGCACATTGGCTCTTGTTCCAAGGTTCAGAAATAATAAGCTAACCTTCAAATTTATATGTGTACCAAACAATTAGTAGTAATAATGATTGTTGCTGGGTGGAAAACCATGAATAAAACCTCATTAGATCACATATGTACATATTGAAAGAGTAACCAGATAATATTCTTGAATCATAATGCATTAAGAATAGAAATTATTAATACCAGAAAATAACATTTCTGTTAAATAAGCTATGCATACAATATTGCCAAGTTTATAGGAAATATAGAATATTAAATATATGCTCACAAAGTTATAAAAATGAATTTTTCCAATTTATTTTACCGAAATTTTGTTGTAATCAAGGATAAGTAAAATGAATTTCTTAGAAATAGGTAAATTTATAATTCACAGTGTAACTAATAATAAAGTCCAATATAAATAATAGCAAACTAAATAGGGTACATTTAATTTGATTTTTGGATACAATGAAATTTACAACTCATGAAATGATGTAAACAGATGTATAACACATGTCACTAGTAAGATCTATAATTTATGTGCATACAATACGTATGACATAACAACTAAAAACAAAATATTTCAAAAATAGCATCATTATCTTAATGAATAGTATAAAAAATATTTACATTTAAATATATTCATAAAATTAAACTCTACAAAATGATTTTTTAGCCCTGACATTTGGAATCACTCCTCGTGACTTGAGACGTCGTACTGCTTCTCGTAAATGCTTTGGTTTTAGTGCTCCAGATTCTCCTAGGCTCTCCATTACATCTAAAGCTAGAAATTCCAGGTGCAATGAAACAATATTATTAATTAAGATATAACTAATAATAAAATTACAACAAACTACCTTCTTCAACAACTTCCCCAACAAAAACTTTGGCTATTCCTGACATAGCTATCACAACATTTTGAGAAATTGATGTCCCAGTTAATGTTTGCATAAGCTGAAAAATTTATCAAAAAATTAATACACATAAAATTATGGATATTCCTATGGTTGTAAGATATTAATTTTACATTAATAATGAATATGGTGGCACAGGATAAAAATTACTGTCTAAATGCAAAAATAAGTTTGCCCCTCCTGGTCAATAACCTAGTTCTGGCCCTGCCACATAAATTGACCTAAAATCCAAGAATATAAAAAAATAATGTGCTATAACAGGAGTCTCCAAATTGTTTGACCCATGGTCCACATTGAGGGCTGTGGGCCGTATTGAGACCTCCACTAAGTCTCTCGGATATGGCTTGTGATAAATAAATGATCCTTCATCTGTGAAATGAGTTTTCTAAGAGAAAAAAATAATTTAATAAACGGTGCAGAAACCTCCTGTTTGAATGATTTACTTGATTTCGTATTTTAAAAAAAAATTATCATGTAATCAAAGAAACATTCATGGGCCGTAGTTTGCAGACCCCTGTTCTATCATACCATCAAGTCCAGTCAATGTAGTAATTATATATATATATATATATATATATACACATAGATAAGTGAAAGCAAAAAAATTGAGAAATCGTAAGTTTAAAAGGTGATTGAAACTTTTCAACAAACTTAACAGTGAGCATTCAAAAATTATTATAGAATGACAAGAAATCTAATAGTGGTTTATTTGACTAGATAAAAATTACATATCGGCTATTGTACAAATTACAAATAAAGTATAGAAGCTGAAGAAAACTTGATTTGTTTGAAGCAAGAAAGAACTAAGATGGAAGTCAGAAATAATGATGAATGTATGAGCCTTCAAATAAAAAATCTGGTGCGCACAACATACAACTTTCATTTACTACATTTCATTTGATGTTTTTGGCTCAAAACATCTAGGTCATTAGCACCCTTAATAAAGTAATACTAATATAATAAGATAGTAGTAGTAACTGAAATATTTAGATAGTATTAACTGAAAATAAAAACAATAGATAGTACAACATAATATTTGAAACAATTAATTACTATATATTTTTCTCATCTAATATATTAAATTTATTCGTTTTTCATCACTGACCATTTCCTTTTACGACTGTATATTTTAATTAATTATAATAAATAATTAAGTGCCACGAATTCTGTTTAGTACAACAAGAGTGCCAGTAAGGAGGTCAGATATTCATTTATGTTTCATTGTGAGTATATTTTTTGTTTAAATACTGTTATATACACAGATTTTAATTTTTATATTGCTGTAAATAAATAATATAATCGGAACCCGTCACTAAGCTTGAGGGTACGATCGGGTTTCTTCAGCAGTTCTGGCATCCTCATTATCAGCCTCTTACCCCGAGCGAACGCGAGTTTCAATTTTCGTTCCCTTGATACCATCTCTTATTTCGTCTCTTATCTCTTGATACTAAACCTTCTCTCGTTTAGTTCATGGTACATTTTTTTCACTATTTATATTTGTATTCATTATCTGAATAGTGAAATAGTTAATTTTTTAAAACAAACAAAATTTAAGATACTTTAGAGGAAGACATTTTTGAAAAATTGACATTTATGTCCTTGTTGGAGAACATCAATGAGGATAAAAGTTACCTCATATTAAACAACACTTAATTGTACATTAGCATAATGAGTTTAATCAAAATCATTAGAGCCGTTTTCAAGAAAATCGTAAAAATGTGTTAAATCGATGACATAAAGTACCTTAAGTACATAAAGTAACTTCTGGTTTGCCGATTCTGATGAAAATATTGCTGTAACATCCCAGGCATATAAAAACCTTAAATAGGCAATTTTAGTTTTGTGCGACTTTTCGTTTTTGAGGTAGGCTGTTCACATACCGACACAAACACACAGACTTTGTGGGACTTGGTTATTTTCACTCAAGGGACCACATTATTTCTGTTAAAAACTCAGATTTGAAAATTTTCATGATCGCAATACTTACCCTTACTATATAGTATATATATACACACACATATATTACATGTATATAAGATGACCATACTATTTTTACCATGGCGTTAAAAAAAAATTCCTGCTTTTTGGAAATAATGCACAACAAGCTAGGAAAAGGCAGGAGATCGGGAAGAAAATATGGTTTTCGGAGGCAATGTGGCTATTTCTCCAGGATATGAGTTTTATATTATTTTTGTTAATTTTATAATGTTTAACTTTAATAATACCGAATAATTGTTGAGAACTAACTATCGAGGACTGCTTAGCAAAGTTCGCATTGTTGACCAGTTGATAAAATTCAATCACCATTGTTTGGACTTAATAAACAACCTGAAAATGATCTTTTTAATAAAATATCATTATAAAAAAATATATATATTGATAACGAAAAGGTTAAATATTTGGCATCAGCAAATTAACTTCATTTGCTATTTCAATTACTGAAATTTTGTCACTTTCAGTAAGTTTTATAGCATTTTCAAAAAGACCTGTTTGATTATGTACAATATGCTGCCACAAAACACCTAAGTATTAAAAACTGTGTAATTATTGAAGTCATAATTTAAACGTTAAATACACCATCAAATTATTTGCTCTAAAAAATATGTCTTTAGAACTAAATTCTTTACCTTATTTGAACTGAATATTATTGTCACCGGATTAAAATTTATACCAGATTATGATTATGTAAAATTAATTATTTCAACAACAAATGTGGACCACCCTCCTTCCTCCCTTCCCTCTCTCCCCGGTCAATGGGCGTCCAGCTTTATCAATGTTAAAATCTAGTCACCTTACCAAGATAGGTAGGGGAGTCGAGCTGTAACAGTGATTAATGTATATATAGAGTCTATATATAGTTAAGAGAAAGTAAAAAAAATATACAAAGACAAAAAAAAAAGTAGAGGACTACCACAAAATGGCTGCAGGATGTGATTATGAATCAGGTATACACGATTTAAAATTAATTTCATAATTGATTATGGTTAGCAGCTTAGGAATCATCATGATTCCTGATCTGCCATTTCAACGTTCCTTCCAAATCTATATTCTGCAAAGCGTAAAAGAATAAGATAATGTGCGGTAGATATGTACTACAGTTCACAAAATTCGATTTAAAATTATTGTAAAATCTACATTTATTTGTTATTTTTTTTAAATCTTCCAGATATAATTGTTTTAAATTACAATCAATTCCTCCATGTTTTAATTATATCCATTTCCATTGCATTGAAAATTCGATTAGTATTCCCAAGTGAGCATGAATCCCTGCCTTAAGGAATAAAAGCCTAAGGGCTATATGTAAGAATCATTTATAAGGAATATTTTCAATAATGATGTAATTATTGAAAAAAATTAAAATGTCTGAGATTCACAGTTTACAATCTTTAAAGGATATGCAATTTAATTAAGTAAAAGTATTGAAAACTCCTTATAATTGACCTTAGCAAACTCTTGCGGCCTATTATGAAACTTTACTTATTTACTCCTTTTTATAAAAGCAAGGGGGGTTTGGAAGGAATGGCATGTCATGAACCACAAAAGGCCAGTTCTCAAAAGGGCATTTCCAACAAGTTAAAAGTAATGACTTCATGTGACAATTATGTGGGCAGAGTGGCAGAACTGGGCTAACGAGTGTGCACAGCATTGACAAATGACAAATTGTTAAAAAAACAGTCACGAGTTCCTGGAGAAGTCTTTTAAATCCCCAGTCTCACCCCCTGGCCGAGAAAAACAAGTGACAATTATGCTCTTACCCCAGACATTATCTTATATTAAAGAAACCATTTAACTTTAATCTACACAATAAAACATGAAATAAAAATTAATATAAGTAAATGAATAAATAAAATTATGTAAAATTACTAAAAAACTTAAATACAGAGACAATTAAGAAGATTAAATTTTTTTTACAAAAACACAATGTAGAACTTAAAGTAAAAAAAGAAAGAATCACAAGAAATCTCTCATTTGTATACGTACAAACATTTCTTTAAAAATTTATAATGACCTAATAAGATTTGATACCAAATCTTGATGGTCTCTCTTATAAATAAATAACATTTATTTATTTAGTCTCCTATATTTGTAATTATACTATAGTGCATCTAGCAAATCTATGTTTATCTTAAAACTAAATTAAAAAATAAATATAATTTTATAATTGGTAATTGGTTGACTGTCGTGGATAATGAAGAGAAGAATAGTTGGGATGGTCAGTCAAAAAGGAAGGGAAAAATAAATGATAATATTTATTTTTACATATACGACCTGAAGTTCAGCCCTTCATCAGGGCTAAGAAAATAACCAGATAACAAGGTATGAGAAACATAAGTAGTAATGGTAAAAAAAAAAATATATATATAAATAAAATAATAAAAAATAAAATAAATAAATATAAAGTAAAATGAAATTGTTAGAATAATGACTAAGAACTAAGAGATAAATAATAATAACCGTTACAAAGTGTGGAATGATGAAGAGGCATAATCAAAAAGGGTGACATAAGTGTTACAATGGGAATCTTAGAATGAAATGTAAAACATAAAAAAAAGAAATATGAAGTTATATAAGAAATGAAAATAAATAGTAAAATTAAGACATTGAGAATAGAGTAGTTGATAATGAAGAGAAGAATAGTTGGGGTGGTCAGTCAAAAAGGAAGGGAAAAATAAATGTTAATATTTATTTTTACATATGCCGACGTTTCGACCTGAAGTTCAGGCCTTCATCAGGGCTAAGATCCATTACTCCATTCTCAATGTCTTAATTTTACTATTTATTTTCATTTCTTATATAACTTCATATTTCTTTTTTTATGTTTTACATTTTATTCTAAGATTCCCATTGTAATACTTATGTCACCCTTTTTGATTATGCCTACTTCATCATTCCACACTTTGTAACGGTTATTATTATTTATCTCTTAGTTCTTAGTCATTATTCTAACAATTTCATTTTACTTTATATTTATTTATTTTATTTTTTATTATTTTATATATATATATATATATATATTTTTTTTTTTACCATCACTACTTATGTTTCTCATACCTTGTTATCTGGTTATTTTCTTAGCCCTGAACTTATGAAGGGCTGAACTTCAGGTCGAAACGTCGGCATATGTAAAAATAAATATTATCATTTATTTTTGCCTTCCTTTTTGACTGACCACCCCAACTATTCTTCTCTTCAAATATAGTTTTAATTTACAAGAGTTATGTATAGAGTATTTCCTGGTAACAGACAATTTTAAGTTCGTAAGGTTGAATATTGGAGAGAAAGTAAATTGAATAATTTGTGGAATATTGACTCTTATGTAGTCAGCTCAACTCTGCTCACTTACTTTTAGAGGACATGGTGGATGAGCCTGTTAAAGCCATGCCTGCTTTAGCATTCTTTAGTTTAATGACACCAGTTCAAATCCCAGCTGGGCAAGTTGAAATATTTTTTGTGGCATGGAATAAATCTCAACATTTCCACTCTGGTTAGAATAGATTTGATTGTACTTCTAGAACAACTACTTACCTACAAGTATGTTAGAAATGACTAGGCAGAGAGTAAAGGAAAAAAAAAAAAAAAAAAAAAAACTGCTGAACTCGGTTTCTATCTAGCAATTCAAATAAAAGAGTTTTTGTTGTTATGAGATTCACTCTTCACATCATTACAACCATTACCTTCTCAGCCTAAAATAGGGAAGAACCTTTCTCCTTTACATAACTGCAGACAACTGTCTTGTAACCACCTGCTTGAATTTTGTTTTACGTTAGTTCAATTACATGCAGTAATTCTGGTTCTACAGTGGATTCCGAGCCATTGCAGTATTCCAGGAAATGAGGAACCATAGTCTCGTCAGGAGAAGAGCAGAATTGCCTCAAACAGGCCATCCAAAATCTTACGATTCAATTCGACGAATGGTAAGGATGGGAGTGAAGGAGGAAACAAAAAATATTCACAAAGACAAGGTAGAAGGAAGACGTTATGGATGTTTGGTGGAAAACCCGATCCCAGCTGACCTACCAAGAAGAGATGCAGTAGCCTGCTTCCGTCTGGCCACTGTTCACGACTATTTACAAAGTCATCTCCACAAGATAGGCGTGGCTGAAGATCCTAGGTGTAAATTATGTGAACAAGCGAAAATGGATGCAGACCACCTAGACAAATGTCCTGCTTTGACCGACATAAGAAATAAAACATTTGTGAATGAATATATAAAAAAATCAAACTTATACTGGGCAGCAAGATGTTGGATGGTCAAATGACCAATGACTACAGCATATGAAAAAAAAAAAATACATACAGCAATTCCAAGGTTGATTGTTATTAGAATCTATTAAAAAAAAATATAATTATGAATTTGTATTGAAGTATAAGCTGTAGACTAGAAGAACGGAATTATCAACTAAACCAACTTACACGTTTGATTGCAGCCTTTGGAAAAGCTGATCTTCGATACATTTCGTAATGGTTTAACTGAGATTCAGTGAAATTGGAAACAAGAACCCTAGAACAAAAAAATATGAATAAATAATCACAAATGACTTATGAAAGTAAAAAAAAGTTGTATATTCACTTTAATACTATTATTAATGAGATTGTGTAATTTTGGAAAATCCTTTGGTGCTACTACGAATTTGCTAATTACTGTGGCGATATTGGGGTAAGTAAGATTGGTTGGTAAGAGTTAACCTTGGTAACACATATTGAAGGCAATACTTTTGTGAGTTTTATGTTGTAATAAACAAGTTCAAGTTAACTTTTTTAATTATTAACAGATTAAAAGACTTAATGTTAATGAATAGTAATAAAAGAATTGTGCTTTGTGGGTAGAACAGCTATGAGATGGGGAAGATTCAGTACACTATATGTAGTAGAGGGGAAAAAAGTCAGAAGAAAAATAAAGAAATATATCAAGTTCATTACCACCGGACCATCTAAGAAAACTAATAACACAAAAATCAACTCATGACATGATTGAGAAATTAGGCACCAATTAACATTTAATTAGATATAATTACAATTTATGAGAAAGTTGTGGAGGATATCCTGCAGTAGGAGTTAGTTTCCCTTCTATGGATCTGGAACCACGCACAGACAGAAAAATAGGCTGGCACTGACTCACGAGGATGGCTGTAGGCAGTTCCTCTTGACATGAAGTGAGCATGCATGTTTACAAGAGGAAAAAGCTTATCAGGTCTTTTAGAGAATCTATGGATGGGGATTATTGAAAATCTTAATAAATGGAAGAAGATAATCAAAAATACTTTCCCGCTGTACAATCTCGACTAAATACGAGGCGGACCCTTGACAATTCTTCATGAGGCAAGGATGTTTTCGAGCCTTGGACAGGAACTAGCATTACAATAGTACAGGAGACTAATGTTTGGAAAATTCCATAACTTTCTGACAAGTTCAACAAAAATTTCAAAATTTTCAAGGTTTTCATGAACAGACTCAAGAGCAGAATCTTTTTAGCAATGGGGAAAGAGACTAGGAGAAGGTTGAGCAGCCTGACCATTTCCAGGACAGTTCATTATCCAGTTCTTTTTAAAATTTGTAAGAATGACTGACCTGTATTTTCTTAACAATTACAATCAAACAATCACTGATTGCTTTAATTTGATTTTTACTTATTTCATGTTTTATTTTAAATTTCAATTCATTTATTCATTCATTACTGGCACAACAGATACATTTAGCAGACCTTGGCCCTTCGATGCGCATCTGGTGGTATCTTACTTTTGTTGCTAGTGTTAAAGTTTTTGATAAAATTAAAATCATTAATTCTGTACGAATTTTGTTAAATCTCAATCATTGAGAAGATAGAATTATAGTACAATGTGAACTTGTTGTTTGTTTGGACTTTAAGGTGTAAAACCCTAGGGTCATTAATGCCTATGAGTCAGTTATTTTGGTTGTATGTTGAGTTCAGAAACTCCTCAGAGAGAAAAAATAATCAATAGTAAAAAACTAATAATAAATAAATAGAATAATATATGTATATGTTAAAGATAATATATGAAAGATATTTAAGAAGATATGAAAAATGAAATAAATAAAAATAAAAAATACAATAAAAATAAAAATTATATTTATTTATTGAAGGAAGCTAATCGACTGTTCTACATATCATGGGTGATAAATATTCAGGACGCAGTAATCATAAAAATTTTGATGTGCTAATGTTTCAACCCAAACATGTGGGTAATCATCAGGTCGTGGTTCGAGCACTGAAGGTTTTCAAGTACTGGTAGATAATTCAGTTTTAAAGTACTGAGTACTTGAAAACCTTCAGTGCTCGAACCACACCCTAATGATGACCCACATGTTTGGGTTGAAACGTCGGCATAAATAAAAATTTTATAATGACTGCGTCCTGAATATTTATCACCCATTATATGTATTTCTATATTTTACTTAACAACCTATGGATTTTAAGAAATGTGATAACTGATTTAATGTTTGATTCGTCATTGTTCAATACTACTGATATATACGGTCTCAGAGATAATCTGTTTAAGCTTGAGGTATAATAAGGGCATTCCTGAAAAATATGACTGACAGTTAGATGGCTATTGCAGTATTGACATTTTGGTGGTGGCTCTATAATAATAAATGAGTTAGATTTGTGTATTCTATTCTTAATCTAGTCATGACGACCTCCACTCTGCGATTAGTATGGTTTGATGTGTTCTAAGACCTGATTTTTTTTTTAAATTTCAATTTGCTGGATGGACTTTCGTTCCACATATATTTCCAACTATCCAATATTGCTGTCTTGTTGCCTTATTATCAAGCTCATTACCAACTATTCCCACGTGACTAGGAACCCATATAAAGCAACAAGATTTTCCCAATTTTTCAAGAATATGAAGATATTTGTTTATTTTTAGGATAAATGGATGTTTTGAGTACATGTCATTAAATAACTCAAAGAGTCCGATATTAAGACTATTCTGTTTGGAGTTATTGACATAGAGAAGTGGCTATTACATGAAGTTCTGCTATATATATGCTGCGTAATTTGTAACCTTTTATTTTATGTGTAGAACTATGGGAAACAAACGAAGACGCTATAGCATCATTATAATGTGAACTTATTGTATATTAACTATCAATGACTAGGGTAAAAAATAGAGAATACACAATCATTGTTGGTAGTAACAGAAGGAGGCTTCAGTAATGTCAGAGTTAGACTGGAGACGAAATTGGTTCAACCCAAATACTGTAACACATTACTGAAAGGAATTCGGAGTCCTGGATTAAACTTCTGAAAGCAAATCGACCTGCGGTTTCCTACCTGTAGAGGTTCTGAACCAGCAGAATATGGATGGCATGCTTTCCTTCACTGCTAATAATATACATTGAGTCTCGTTATTCAGGTATGCAAATTGTTAGCAAGAACTATGTCCTTAAATTGATCTAGTAAGGAAAGCATTCCTTCTTTAATGAGTACATACAGAGGTGGTAGGTTACATACATTTAACCGTTGAGAGTGAGTGTCTGCCTAAAATAGAGAAGAGGCTGGATGCACATATGGACTAAACATAAAACAACCAGAAGAGGAACGGCAGAAACAGAGCAGGAGCAAACAATGCAGGAAGAAAAGGCTCTGCCATGGAACAACTTTCAACCTGCTCAAGCCGGGTTCAAAATGACGAAAGTCTACCTCATTAGGTGACACCTTAACATAACAGCCACCATGGTCTTACAGACCAGTGAACTAGTGTTTTGATCTCTAACAAATGGGAATAAGTAATTATTCGATGAGGTTACAGAAACATACTCAAGAAAAACAAAAGGCTTTGATTTGTTGAATTTATTCCACTATTAATAAAATATAAGAAACGAAACATTAAAATAATGCGAGAAAAACAAATTAGCTAAACATTAATTCACTTAAAATTTTTTCTGAGATAATTTAAAATAATGTTATTATTTAATTATTACAAACAAACAATTAAAATTATCTCAATTTATATCAACCAGAAGTGGATGAGGGGATTCTAAAGGCAAAGGCAACTAAAAAAATTATTGCTACATTAGTGAATATTCAAAAACTATCGTGAACGATAAACTTACTGCATTTTTTCTCTCTCTTCTTCCTCCAGTTCTTTTTTTGATTTTTCTTTTTTTTTCTCTTTCTCTTTCTTTTTAGATGATTCAGATTTCATTGCTTCAGAATCATTAACAAAACTAGACAATTCTTGACTTTCAAGCTCTTTCTCAAATTTGATTTTGTCAATTTCGGTCTCAGGACTTTCAGCTTCATCTTCAGCATAAAAATTATAAGATTCAGTTTCGAGATCTGGCGAATCTTGTTCAGTTTTAATGTTTAAATTGGTTTCTGATGCAGCCATTTCACGGTATAACACCAGCAATAATACAAAGTAATGAAAACATTTAAATTAACTACAAGTTATATGTAGTTGACCTAAGGAAGGTAATACTTATGGTGATAATAGATATCAATTGAATTCTATATCGATATATAAAAAGAAATTTCGATATAATTTAACGATGTCTCATTAATGATATATCGTTAATATCTTAGTATATGTTGTCTGCTAGGTTTATTTATAAACATATCGTTGATTTAGCGTGATGAATAGTTTGTTTTATTTACCAAAAGGTTTATTTCTTAATCTCTTTTCTAATTCTCTTTGAGAAATATACAATCAAATACCTAATAGAAAGCTCTTTAAGATACATCTTTAAATCATATCGAGTGATGCAAATTATGAAATACTAAGTAAATGATTAAAATTCCACGAGTCTGAAGCATACCCTTTTTTTTTTGATGTTATAAATTATCTTTTTACTGCACGTCATATTACAAAGTATCGATATTTTTTCGGTGTTCCTATCGGATGCACAAAACCAGATATCGGTAAAGTACCCTTCATCAGCTGATCTTAATTTAAAAAACTGTTTAGCGCATGCGCTTTATCATTTCATAGTGAGCTTTTAACGTAGTGGTGTAATCAAATCAATAATTGTGGTATATATAAACGTTCAAAATAAAGTATATTGCTTTCGTCTTTCCCATTCAGAACCCACACCTCTTATATTGAACACTTCGTGGTTACTAAAATTTTGGTGACATTTATTTAACTTCATAGTTTTTTTGGATATTTTTTCAATCAGTGTCATTCTGGATTTTCAACTGATAAATTGAAGAAACAGTTGAGAGTTTTAGTTCCTTTTTGTAATCTAATTATACAGACCATTAGATACAAAAATTGTTCAAAGTGGAGCCTGTCTTCAGGATAGGTTCGAGGTAAGTTTACTAATTTTTATTGTTAATCTGATAATGAATATTTTATTTTTCAATATTTGCTTGACAAATATTCCTGGTTCCTTGTTTCCATTTGAATTGTCATATTTATCTAAACTAATAGTAATTTATTCTTCTTTTCATTAAAAACACATATTGTTTACATTGCATTATTGTATTGTTTTTCCATTTGTTTAGAATCAAAGTATTTGAATTAAAAAAAAAAAATTATGATTCTTATAGCTTGTGGCTCATTCTTTATAAATAATCAGTCTACTTGATCATTTTGGTTGGACTAGATACTTTTAAACTTTAATTACCATCCCACTTTGTGTACATATTCTTTTTTCATGATATTAGGACGGATTGTAGCTGTGGAGATCCAAGTGGTTTGGCCGATCTAGCAGTGAAATCACTTGAGCTGGCACCTACAAACACACAAGCACCCGTGACCTCTGAGCCATCTCCGAAACATCTGTCCCAGCAAGGTATCATGCTTATTTCATTTCAAGATTGTTCAATTGAGTTATTGTGTTATTATTAAAAATATAAAACATTGCATTGATCATTTTCAACTTTATCTCATAATATTTCTGTTTATTGTTTCCTATTCAATCCAATTTATTCCTAGTATTTGTTTCATTATTTAGTTTGGTTGTATAAATACCAAAGTATCATATACAGATTTTAATTAGTTAAAAATTTTCTTATATTATCTTTATGTTCCTTATTCATGTTTTGATCCAAATTTATGTATATCAGCTGAGTATCATTATTATTTGTTTTAAACTTTTTTACTGTTGTGAATGAACTTAAAATATTAATTTAGTTGCTTGGCAATAATAACTTCTAATTATTAACAATTCGAGTATATTTTTAACGTTACATGTTAACAGGCTAGTTTACGTTTCGGGACCTTTTATTCCCATCTTCAGAACTGCAATTCCAATACTCTTGTGGATGCAAGGCTTAATTTTAATAATAATAATGTGCTCCATCATCAATTTTCTAATTTATGTTCTAAAATTTATTATCTAGAGCAACATCCTCCTTTTGACAATAATTGGTATTATAAATTATTTTATGTCATTCTGATTCTTTACAAAATTATCCTATTTTTGTATGTTCGATTTTTTTATAAATTGATCATGAAATGAATGTTATTTTACAACCGATATCTGATGTACATATGCTAGAGCCAAGTCGCACAGAGTGTTGAGTGCTGCATTTGCTGAATGAAACTGGTTGAAGTGTTGACTGATGTATATACTAAATTTTCTGCCATCTGAATGTTAATAATAATGATTTATTTATTCTGAGACATGTCCCTTTAGAATACTATACAGTGATAAAAATGTGGGCTTTGCAGCCTCAGAGAATAATCACAAAAAAAAAAAAAAAAAAAAAAAAATAGACAATAAATAGAAAAGTATAAATTATCTTCTAATTTCAATCAATTAAATAAGAAAATGAAATAAAAATACTTAAAACAAACTAATAATTTATATATATATATATATTTACAAAAAAATCTATTTACAATTCTATGGGGACTGAACAGATGAGAGGTGATTGAACAGGCAGGATTTAAAGGTGGAAAGGTTATTGGAGTAATGGATGCAGGGAGAGATAGAATCCTAAAAGGATGAGGATCGGATAATGAAAGATTTTTTTGAAAGCAGCGGTTCAGTGGGTCCTTTTATACAAATCTGAAGACTGGGAACAGGTTTTGCAGGAGTAGAAAGAATATTTGAAGGATAAAGCTACTTCAGATCTTCATTAAACTGGAAGGCAAGATGGTCCCATGAGATCCCGAGGATGAATCATACATAGCAATTAATCAAACGTATTAGTCCCTGAAGAAGTATTTATATAAAGTATTTATAGGTGTGAATACGATAGCAAATATATGTATTTAGACTTGCAAATTTGAAATAATATATAGATATTATTTAAATAAAGAACAATATTTATCTATAAATTTATGTGAATATTACAATATTCTATATGCACATATTTAAATATAATTGTGGGGAAATAAGGAGACATATGTGCCCAACTCTGATGTATAAGAGTGGATTTTATTCGATTGAGTCTCTCAGTTCGCCGTTTATGTCGGGCAGACCGGAAAGAAACTAACAAAAAGTATTAAAGAATATTTCCTTGGGACAGGCCATACATTTAATTTCAAGGACTATTTTGGAATTTTTCGTTCCTCCATAAACATAGTACGGTAAAACTCATACACTCTGCACTTAAAGGAAAATGAATAGATTTTCTTTTTTAAAAAACCCCTACAAAATAATGTATTAAGCTCGAATGCCAATAATACTCAATTTCGAAGATTCTGTGATCATTAAACTAGTAGCGCTTAACAAAAACAAGACGTAATTTTAGAGGAGTGAGGAAAGCCCATCTGGGCTTTTTATTTTTATCCTTTATCCGACAAGCAGAAGAGATGGGCCGTAATAAATTACGTGATAAATATTGTTTATTTAATGTGTTAAGTGTTCATAAATTTTAAAGATTGTTATGTAAATTTTGCTTTTTGTTATTATATTGTAGTTAATTTTTATATTTTACTTAGTCTGATGAAGGATCTGTAATCCAATAGATGGAAAAAAATCGCAATTAGTCCATGATTGTAAAAATACAGAAATTACCTTAATTTTATTTGTTAAAAATTTCTTCTAGATTAATAAAGGCAATGCTACTCACGAGAGAAGGAAATTTCGTCTAGTTTACTTTGAAACAATTGTTAATCACTAAATTTAAATATTTTTTTAGTTAACACCTTCTATTCAACAGTAGTTATATATCTGCCTGACAGTGGACCAACCCCGCTTTTACAAATTATTCAACTATTCGTTTAATTGTACTACTCGTTGCTCAAACTGTACAACTGTAATTTGTATGTATTTTCTAGTTCAGATTGTATTATTTCTTATCAACATAAAATTAACTAAACGAAACCACAGTTCGAACAAATTTTTAATTTATTTAAAAATCTATTATTTACATCACGCCTTATTGCCAAATTATAATATTATAGGGCCATTCCATACCAGATCAACCTGGACCTGACCCATTGGGTCTTGGATTTTAATAATTCTTAGGTTATTTGATGAATGCATTAATATAAAGAAAAATAACAAAAAATTAGATTTTTTGCACTTCCGTTTTGAGTTATAATAATAATAATAATAAGGCTTAGCGAACCCGAAGGTTCGATGCCGACACCACCAATCGCTTATTACACACCTCCCTCCACCGTTCGCCGTCCAAATCCAGTCCCTTCAGATCAGCTTTAATGCAATCTTCTCACCTTCGCTTCGGTCTACCCCTTGGACGCTTACCATTCGGCACAGCAAATATTAACCTTTTAGGAATTCTCTCGTTACTAAGTCCAACAACTTTACAAGCCCATTTGATTCGCCGCGATGAAATTATCTCAATTATATTATTCGGATACAGTTCACGCAATTCGGCGTTGTGTAACCGTCTGAACTCTCCGGTTAACTCATCCTTCTTCGGTCTGAATATTCTACGCTATACTTTATTTTCAAAAACCTTAAGACGCTGCTCATCCCTTAATGTAAGCGGCCAAGTTTCGCACCCATAAAGAACTGTAGGCAAGATAATTGTTTTATAGATTCTAATTTTTAAGTTTCGGGACAAAAGGCGCGAACTAAGTAGTTTTGTCACAGAAAAATAACAAGCATTTCTCGCCTTCAGTCTAACCTTAATTTCGTTTTTTCTAATTATCGTAGAACCTAGATACCTAAACTTATCTACCTGTTCAAACATATTACCATCTATATCGATATCACCAGTAGTATCGCCATTTTTGCAGCTAACCATATATTTTGTTTTATCCACGTTTATTTCGAGTCCTAGTTCTTTACCGGCTTTCATTAACGTTGTATTTAGTTTTATAGTTTCAAGGTCTTCGCTTAACAGTACCAGATCATCAGCATAGCCCAGCACGGATGTTGTCCCACCCAGATCCAACCCTTTCTCGGTACGCATTACCTCCCTAATGGCATGTTCTAATGCCAAATTGAACAGGACAGGCGAAAGGGAATCCCCCTGTTTTAAACCCGAACGAACCTCAAATTTTTCGGACAGATTATTACCGATTCTAGCTTTATTAAGTGTCTCCGTTAAGCACATCCTGACTAGATTTACTATTTTTTTAGG